CGGGCGAAAAATAGCGAACCACTATGCGAGAAACGACTATAAAAGCTATCATAATATAGAGGGCATTGGGAGAAATCTGGTTTATTGGAATACTATACAGGTTACTTATCGACAAGAGCTCGTCTTGGATAGGAAAGCGAAGGCCGAAGACAATTTGATCGATAAAGAAAGTATGGCAGCCCTGTGGAGGGCGGACGAAGTCGTTTTCAGGGCCTGGAGCAACCAACTCCCAATCGGAGGGAAGCCCACTAAATTGCCTGAAGCCCTCGATTTGAGCTGCAGAGGCATAACGAAAAGGATTTAGAACGGCCAACTTGGCCAAAGGACAAACTATAGACACAACCCCTCGAGGATTAACGAGGGGAGTAATTATTGGTACAAGTACATGGCTAGTTATATATACAGGTATTTCTAATAACCTAAGGGGAATACCTCGAGGAAATGGGTCAAGGCGAAGAGAATCCCCTCGAGGACTCTTCGAGATCTCCACCAAGCCACCCTCTAGAAGTGCTTGATCATATTCCTTCCAGTCGACTTTCGGGGTAGAGGCATGAGAAGAAGAAGAACGAGGAGAAACATTGGTTGTCCTACAGCCAACTATCTCGACTGAATCGGATTGACTGAGGCCTCTATCGATCAAGTCGTCGAGTGAATCAGGGGAAGAGTCGGAGTGGGAAGCTAGAAAAAAATCGAAGCCCAAAGATCAGTCCAGGAAATAAAGCCAAACAAAATAAAGGTCGACTGGTAGACGGTCGACTAAGGAAAAAGAACGAGGATATTATATGTTATGATCTAGTGGATATATCGATAAGTCGACATAAGACAAGTCAGGAAAGGAGAAAGGACAAACCAGTATAGGTCGACATGATAAGGAAGTCGGTAAGCGACCAAATACTAAGAGCGATCATTAACCAGACAAACATCAGATCAAAACAAAAAAAGTGCGCCTAGAAAATTCAGCACAAAATCCGTAAAAAGAAAACTTGAGGAACAAGAACATATCAAGAACAC